TGCATAAAGAAAATAGTTCGTACTAACACAACTTTGAAAGCGGTTGCCTAACTTAAAAGTGCTTTTATAGATTCATCTCGATCGAATAAAGTTAGCCGCAATTGACGGGTAATTATGTGACTCATTGTGTGTCCAATTTCTCATATGAAACCTGGGTTCTCCTGAAACTAAGTAAAGTGCTGCAAAGACACACTATGTTGCCGTAATCAACCCCCTAGAGATCACTTCCAGCACATGATCAATCAACTCATTAAATATTTTGAAATAATAAAATTCTGCAGATATTTAAACTTCAAATCGTGATGAGTATAAACCAATAAACTTCGTTTAATTTAATAATTCTGTCGCCGAAGATCATATTTAACTACAATATATGAGCTGTCCAATTAATATTTATGTATTCCCTTGGCGAAAGTTAAAGTACAATATGAAGCTATAGTAGTTACAAAGGTATAAAGTAAATTCAATTAAATACAACATCTACACAAGTTTACTGTCATATTGTTTCCATAAAGATTCCAAACTGGAAACATATAAGGACCTGCAAGTAAAAATTTTGGCAAACCATGTAGTGTAGTTTTATAGTTATGAATTTCATCATATCCTGTTTATCATGATTATTCATGTAACTTCACATATAAACCAATGCATAAAATATATGTGGTAATTAAAAAGAAAGTCTAACTGTATGTAGGTACATTTTGATTTAAAGCTTTCGTGACTGCAGTAATTCATATTCTTTGCTCTTTCGGTAAAGTCACGTTGAAGGGAAACAATAAAATAATAAAAAATATATAAAACAATAAAAATTCTTACGACATTTCGACCATAATACAAACGGTCATCATCAGGTGTGAAAACCCAACGGCAAGAAACATGTGAAAAAAGTGGCGGTTTCCATTTAATTAATTATTTTGAACGGTGTATTCATTTATAAAAAAACGTTTGCACCACGGGCAGCGATTTGGTAGTTTATTTAGAAGGACGAGTCCATCTATGTTCTGAAAAGAAGAGGGGGAGACGAAAAAAATGAATGTATGCTGTCTGAAAGCCACCGTAAGCGTGAACAATCAATTAAGACCTGAAATGGTTTATCAAATCCTTCCAATGATTGCTAAGCCAGAATCCATCTTCTCGATTGAAATTGTCTCTGTGCTTGTATATGTGGATAGCCTCATGAACGAGTCTCTCATGGTAGCCAGATGGCTTACCAAAAATACATAAAGTAAATACACCCCTTCGTCCCATCGTCTCTACTATCAACTCCCCCACCTACAAACTGGCTCGTTTTTTGTCTGAAATCCTGCGTCCTTTCACTGGAAAAACCACCTCTGCGGTACAAAATTCTACTCACCTGGTATCGACAATCAAGGGTATGTCCCTGTTCCCAGACGACCTGCTTGTCAGTTTTGATGTAGTTTCCTTATTCACCAAAGTTCCTGTACCTGACACCATAGCAATCATTGAAGACTTGGTTCATCAAGGACTAAACACTGAGGTACCCCCCTGGTGAGACACTGTTTAACCAATACATACTTCACTTGGAATGGAACTTTCTACAAACAAACTGAGGGCACCCCAATGGGCTCCCCCCTATCTCCGGTTATAGCTAACATTTTCATGGAGAAATTTGAGACTGACGCCATCCAGACTGCCACTCTGCACCCAACCTTATGGAAGAGGTACGTGGATGACACTTTTGTCATCTGGCCACATGGCTGGCCTGCTCGAGACCAATTCTTCGACCACATCAATTCCATACACCCAGCCATCAGATTTACCATGGAAGTCGAAAAAGATGGCAAGCTACCTTTTTTGGATGTCCTAATAAAAAAGAGACCTGATGGTTCAATGAGCCACTCTGTCTACAGGAAAGCTACCCATATGGATGCTTATCTGAAACTGGATTCCCACCACCATCCATTACAGAAGAATTCTCTCATCAAGACTCTGTACCATAGAGCCCAATGCATATCCGACCAGGAACACATAGGCAGTGAACTCAAGCACGTACACCAAGCTCTTAAGGCTAATGGTTACTCCGACTATACAATCCGCAAAGCTATCACTCAAACCATGAAGAAGGACCCTCTTGAGGAGCGTTTCAAAACCATCACTTTACCCTACATTGCGGGGATCACAAAAAAGATCTCCAGGGTCTTGAATAAACACAAGATCCAGGTCCGTTTCAACACATTACATAAAATCCGTGATCTGGTTCCGTCTGTAAAAGATGTGATTCCGGACATACAGTACCCTGGTGTCTACAAACTAAGTTGCCTCTGTGGTAGTAGTTACATTGGAGAAACCAAACGCCATGTCTCGGACTGCATTCGTGAACACAAAGCAGACCTTAAACATGCTAGGACCAACACCTCGGCCATGGCAGATCATTGTTATAATTCAGTAGGCTCACATGACATTGACTTCTCCAAGACAGAGGTTCTTTGTAAGCCATCTGGCTACCATGAGAGATACGTTCATGAGGCTATCCACATATACAAGCACAGAGACAATTTCAATCGAGAAGATGGATTCTGGCTTAGCAATCATTGGAAGGATTTGATAAACCATTTCAGGTCTTAATTGATTGTTCACGCTTACGGTGGCTTTCAGACAGCATACATTAATTTTTCGTCTCCCCCCTCCTCTTTTCAGAACATAGATGGACTCGTCCCTCTAAATAAATTGCCAAATCGCTGTCCGTGGTGCGAACGTTTTTTTTTATAAACAAATACACTGTTTAAAATAATTAATTCAATGGAAACCGCCACTTCTTTCAAATGTTTCTTGCCGTTGGTTTTTCACACCTGATGATGACCGTTTGTATTATGGTCGAAACGTCGTGAGAATTTTTATTGCTTTATATATATTTTATTATTTTATTGTTTCCCTTCAACGTGACTTTACCGAAAGAGCTAAGAATATGTATGTAGGTACTGCATAAGCTTAATATCTAATAGTAGAATAACGCGTGATGATATTTTCATTTAAATCCTAAAATTGTGTAACAGAAATTATGTTTATTTACACTACATGTAGTGTAGTGTAAATAAACATGTAAATAAACATCATTGAGCAAAGATACAATTATACTCTGCTCAATTCTTTCGTAAATATTAAATTTTCCGTCCTAGGACGGGCAAAAGGCTAGTTTGTAATGTTTAAACTCATGCGAGTCTAAACTAGCACAACCTATGATAATGCTAGTATTTGTATTAAATGTGCACGAAGGTAAAACAAAACACATTTCATTATTTTGAGTTGATAAGTTCAATTTGTAGAATCAGAACTCATTATCACCAATGGTTTATAGCCAAAAAGCCATCCGGGAGTCTTCTGCTCAAGCAAGTGTTGGGGTAATGCTTATTTCCACTCGTAGCCCAGAGCCAGCATTGGAATATTCCACATTATCATGGAGGCCAGTCTTTCCATATGACAAGCACTATTGGCATCATGCACAGAATGGTACTTATTTTATATATTCTGGAGTGATGATTATGAGGCGAGTCAAACCACGACGAGGATTTGAATTTACAGCTTTTTGGTTGTGATGCATCGCCCTGCCACAGAGCCCCGATCGTTAAGTTAAATACTGCACCACGTATTCGATAGAGAGTACAGTTACTCTATTGTCTCACTCTCTTCATATCAAACCTCGTGGCCGACATATGTTCGGATACACAAAACGCATCAGGGATGTCAGAGGGAAAGTGCTGCTGCCTTTTAACACATCGATACTGAGTGCTCATTCTCGACAAAACATTCCCGCACTCAATTATCATCCCGTTGGCAAGTACTGCCTTAATGCGTGCTGCACGCCTTCGGGCTATGAAACGCACTCCCCATTCACGTTGTGTTCGAGAGAACTATTTTTACTCCCACGAGCTATGCTAAAGCCATTAACTTCATTTTAAACAGGCACTTACCAACTTTGGCAAGAGTTGCACTTCACTTGAATTGAATGACGCAACTTTCATATAAACACGTGCATGGTATGGAGTGTAGTGAAAACGCTTTCCCAATGCCATCATTAACCGCCGCTGCCTTATCAAAAATATGCACAGAAACAAGCTTAGTTTTCTGGCAAAGGCTGATGCAACTTGGAAGTGTATAGTGTATTTTGTGATATAAGGAATATCCTACGTACATGGTGGCATTAACACTGGATTGCTGCTCGTTTGATATTGTGCTTTGAAGCATTGAACGCGTTTTTTCGTTTTCTAGTGAATATATGTGTAAGCACACCCGCACATCACTAAACACGCTTAATGGAATATCCAATGCACAAGTCACAAACTTTCATCACCTGTCATTTCCCCACCCAGTATCAGGCTTCACTGCTTTGAAGCCATAACAAAAACACACTTGCCTATTATCGAAATTCAAGCTACCACGTACCAACGCACAACAATTTTTTTCCTGAAGGAGGATGTAATTTGTTTGTTTTCATAGACAACACAGTACTAAATAATTTTTAGTGTTGCACACAACTGTTGCATTACTTTAGTGAATCCGTAAAAGGCTAGGCAATCGTCTGCTGGGCCAAGTTCAATACAATTCACGAATATCCAAATGCATTATTAAAAAGTTAAACTAATGTGTGCATTCTTCAGGATTGTTGGAATGTGTATCAGTATCATAGCCACATTCCAAATGTTAAAAGCACTCAAGTGCATGAACATTTACATGAAATATACATTTTCAACCACTCTCTCAGATTTCCCTCGTGAAAAAGGGAATTGATCCCAATGGACCCTAACCTGTTAAAATAAATCTATAGGTTACGTTAAAATGCAAAAATTCGTGAACCGACAATTGTGCCTTTCAGCCTCGCGTTAATTAAAGCGGTGTTGTTAATTGCTCATCTATGACACCTTGAGTGTGTGAGCAGACATCCAAACCGTGTCTGCCGATGTACGCACGCGCAAACGGGCGCGCACAGTTGTGAGTGCGGGCGTGTGCGTGCGTGCGGGTAACCCAGGAAAGTGAGCGGCTACCTTCAAGGGGCCGCTCCGCGTCGCTGCAGCTCTCCATCAAGTCACGCGTGCTCGCACACCCTGGTGTCAAAAGTGCCTCTTCTCGAGCTGTGCACGCCTCCCCCTCCTGCTCCTCCTTCCTACTCCTCTTCCTCCTTCTACTGCTGCTGTCTCTCTGTTCACGCCGGAGATGGGTGGAGAGCAGGCTGACAGATCCGTCTCTCTCCCGTGCCGCCCCAAAGCAACCACACCTTATTAAAGCACGGGGTGGCAGCGACGGCGGCAGGGTTGAACGCATGCGATTTTTGATGGTGCCATACATATAGCACGCCCGGCGAGCACACGGCGCGACTCGGGTGTCAGTCACACACAGGACCCTCCCCGCCGCTATGCCCCCTGCCCCCTGCAGAGACGGCCTTCAGCCTCCCTGCCATTAGCACCGGGATGCCTTTGCACATGATACCCGAGCAGCCGGCGCGCAGGGAGTATGCAGGATTTCTCGCAGTTGTGCTCTTCTGTTTTTTTTTTACGAAAATATCTCACGTATAATCCTAATTGCATTCGATAATTTGCCATCGTATTGGCTCAAGATTTCTGGCAACATATTCATGTGAGACTTTAATATTAACTATATTCCATGCTGTAATGTAACCTACATCATTTCTGCCATTGCAAAATGGGACACTTTTGCCAGTATCGAAGTATGAAAAAAGAATAGGTTTTTACCCTTTCTGGAAATAAAACAGGTGTTAAGATATTCAACTCGTTTCACGCTGCACTCGGGCGAATGCGAGCGCAGCGTGGAACGCGTGCAGCGTGGAACGAGTTAATTTGCATTCGAACGGGAGGAGTAAATTGGCAACCGCGGGAAGACAGCGTGTTTGTGGGTCGCGTGGGCTGTAGTTGGGAAACCCTGCCCTATCCAGTTAAAGGCACTCAGGCCTCTTTGCCACAGCAAGGCAGCGATCTGTCGAACGCACCGTGTGCTACTCCATGACAGCTGCCTACAGAACTTTTAAACCACTTCATTAAGAGTATTAACAGCACCTTTCCTGGCACAGATAGATAGTTTCTATTTGGTGTTTGAACATCTTAACACCTGTTTTATTGCCAGAAAGGGTAAAATGTATTCTTATTTTTTCACACTTTCATACTGGCAAAAAGGTCCCATTTTGTAGCTACTCACCCCGAGCTATAAATACTCTGATAGTGCATTGTCTTTGTACTGTTCGCCTTTTGGTGTTCTCTGGTCTGACACTGGTGAGACAAGGCCCTAAAGAAGGCTATCTCTGGTGTAGGCCAATCCGTTTCAAAGACAATGCATATATTATCGGAGGATGTTTTCCTTAATGTTCACCACAAGTACTGTGTGTGGTTAATGCACACTTGATTCCTTGCACAGGGTTTCTATTTGGCGTTTGAACATCTTAACACCTGTTTTATTGCCAGAAAGGGTAAAACCTATTATTTTTTTCATATGGTGAATCAAGACTGATTTGTTGCGGTGAGACCTTCATTAATCAGTGGAATGACACAGGGCTGTACATTACAAGGAGGAATATCTTTAATTGTTTTTTTTTAATATAATTTCCAATAATGTTAATTCACCCCACTCAGCTAACACACCATGTCCCATTGGGACCCCTATTCACGGCACACTTAAATGCAACCCCAAACAGAGCACACTTCCAATGAACAATACCCTATTTATATGACCAGAGTCCCTCTTGGTAACCCTGATACCTACACAACAGAATTTGAGCTCCGTGTGGTTACATAAACAAGTATCTACAGAGCTTGTGTTTTCACAGCCAGGATTTCCTAGTTCCAAACCCTTCACACATCCAATGTCTCAATTCCATCATGTTGCTTAATAGATTTTGTCCAACTTCAGATGTCTAATTATAATAATGTCTTCTGCTGTTACTATTCTGGTCATCCTCACATTTCCATGTGTTACTTTATCCCTCCATGTAATTCTAAGTATTATTTTCTGCCTGCTGTGGTGTGCTGTTTCCAGGCTACCCTGGTTACTGACTTTTGTACTGTAGATTTCTAATCCATATAGTACCAAAGTGTTAAAAAAGACAATTGGCATCGCCTTATATTTACTGTAATAGAAAGGCAAATATCTCCAAACAGGACTTAATTTTCCAAAGATCGTCTTTCCCTATACCCCATCCTGGCACAATTGTATTGATCAGTGACTGTTGTTTACGATTTTTCTTCCCAGAATAAATCATAATAAAATAGAATAACTCTTCTACTTCATTGTTTCCTTTGCACCCATGTTTAGGCTGTGCCTAATGTGGACTGACTTGCATAACCTTAGTTTGATCCACATTCATCGTCAACCTTATCTTACTCGTCTCTGTTCCGACACTGAGTGATATTGCTCACTCCATTCCAGGTGTTGTCTAACACAGGTATGTAATCATCAAAGTATAACTAACGTCTCGTCTAAGCCATTCAATACTTTACATAATCGATCAAGATGTTGCCAGTTTCACGATGTAGTCTATTACAATAGCGAACAGTAGGATACACCCTTGACATAATCCCATTACGGTGCAGAATTAATCACTAAATCCTTCCTCAGTTCTCACAGAATATTTCGATCCATTACATAAACTCTTCATGATGTTGCTCGCATTTACTGGTATGCCACATACATTGAGGATTTACCTTCAATGATTGTCTGAACATTGTCAAATGCCTGTTGGAAATGTAAGAAGAAGTAAGCAATGGAAACGGCCAAGCAAGTGTCTTGGCAGTTTCTATTGAGTGTTCTATTCCATGACAGCTGTCTACAAAACTTTGAAACCACTTAATTAAGAGTATTAACAGCACTTTTCCTGGCACAGATAGCAATTTAATACCTGTCCATTTGAAACGTTCGGTGAGATCTCCAGTTTTTGCGAGTCTAACAAAAGACAAAATCTCTTTGTTTGGAACTGTCCCTTGTGCCAAAATCATGTCACGTAAGTGTGTTAACTGTGATGTGATATTTTCTTAATTTCAACAATTTCCTTCCTGTGTAGTAATTTTTTGATTTGCTGGTGCTTTTTTTCTCCTAAGGGCTTTCACTGTTGCCATCACCTCTACAGTTGTGTCTCCTTATTCAGCATCTAATTTAATCTCACCAGGATTCATCGTCATTAGCCAAGCTCAATCCACTGTTGAATGGAGGCCTCTCCAATTGTTTCCAACAATTTTTAAAACATATATAGGGTGTTTTTTTTTGTTAGATCGCGTAAATATAAATGTGTCGTTAAACCCGCCACCACCCGACACTGCCAATTAGTAAGATTTATCACGTAAACTGAACATGCCAATTCGTTACGAGTACAGCACACCGATGTGTTAGAGAGCAAATCCACAAGATTTACAATCTGAGTACGAAGTTTCGCCAGTAATTATAACTAGCATCATCAGACGGACAGCCACATTTGTGGAGAAATCTTCCTGTTTCATTCCTTAAATAGAGGGATAAATAGAGGAATACATTTCAAAATTGCTATGTTTTCTGTGGCTACAGCTAAGACAATCTAATACACTGCTGGGCCTGAAAGCCTTTTCGGCCTCTGGGGGCCAACATTATTTTGGCTCGACTTCAATGGGACTTGAACCAAGGATCTCAGACACTTGGCAATGTCAAATTCAATTGGTCTTACCCTGCACCTGAGCCTCTCAATCACATCGAGAACATAAATTTCACTGCAAAAGCACAAGGAGAGGCGTTTTTTGTTCCTGGCGCGTTTGAGCATCCAAAGAGATATTGCAGTTACAGTCGCGAATGAAAACAAATTACAGCTGGACGATTAGTTGATTAATCGACTAATTCGTCTAATCAACTACTCTTTTGTGATCAATTTCTCTGGCTCCGAAAAAAAGGTCGCTGCTCCGGCATTCTGCTTCCCGAAGGCGGGAAACCCACTTGCAAGCCACTCAGCGGCATGATGTGGATGATGTGGATGAGGGTACGGATCCCGTCACCAAGCCCCGCCGATCACCTGCCGTCCAGCAAAACACGTGGCAACAGTGACAATACCTTTTCCCACCTATTTAAGTGAAATTGGCATGAAATATGTCAAGTCACGTAAAGTTTAATGCGTGGCCCATTCAATTACTTAAAATGATCGGAGAGGTTAACGCTAAAAACATGATAATCTTTGTCTTTAAACAGATGTTAATAAAAAATCTTGATGATACATTTCGCAGAGCCTACTTCAATGTACAGTACAAGAAAACAGTTTACAAGGCTCTTTCTTATTTGACAGACCAGCATGTGGGCTGTGGTGATGACGTTATTCATCTACCAAATGCTGTAAAACTATGCCACATTAAAAAAAAATTGTTTACAATGGAATACATATACCGATGTGCATACAATTGTAAAATGCCTACACTATATATGCTTGTATAAGAGAGGTTTATATAGGTGTGTATTGCATGTTTTTCTCTTTAAAGTAAATGGTACATCACGGGATCAGTGGCACAGTGGTTCGCACACACTTCCCTATAAAGCTGGCTACTTGCGTTCCATTTCCAGCCACGGCTCACATTAGTGGCCGAGTAAAATGTGAACCGGTCTTACCCCACCCTTCACCAACCAGCATTGACCAGCGTGGTGAAGTATGGTCAAACAACCACATCAGCTGACACGGTGTGGGGAGATGTTCATCCAGAAGTGGGCTGAACATATTTGTTTCAATCGTTACATTCATAATAGTAGTAGAAAGTAGTCGTACGTCGTTGGGTGGGCCCTGGTCTCCCAAGGTTGGGAGAGACCATTGAATCTATAATGGCATACTGGACAGCGAGAAAACGATGTAGGTGCACATACACATGCAAATCCATACCCCTGTACACACAACTAGCTTTAAATCACCCTTCGTCTTTGCTCTCTGAATTCTGAAACCCGAACTGACCAGCTTGATGAATTATGGCTCTGCCACATACAAATGAGCACAATACGTAACAAAACAAACACAACCCTACATCGATAGGACCTCTTCGATCATTAAAAACTCTGAACATCCCGTAAATATATAAAAATATTAAGCTTGACCCTAATGATTTTCTCGTCAGTTTTGGTGTGACTTCTCTGTTCACGAGGTTTCCTGTTAACGAGTCAAAGAAATTACTCGACACTCTAGTAACGGACACAGGTTTAGCCAAATATATACTACGACTAGCTGAACACTGTCTAAAGAACACCTATCTCTTGTGGAAAGATGACTTCTATAAATAAAAGGAAGGAGCAGTAATGGGCTCTCCTTGATCTACTGTGATAGCAAATTTGTGCATGGAAGATTTAGAAACAAAAGCAATAGCTTCAAGCACACTAAAGCCCTTTGCTTGGT